CTCGACTCTGTTGCGCCATCACTTTCGAAATGTGGCAGCATCAACACTCCACCCTTTCTTGCAAAAGTGAGGCGCCGTGCGGCTCGGCACGCCACCACCTTGCTCGCCGATCCACTTGATCGCCTCCTGCTTCTTTCCGTGCTCAATTGCTTGACGCATGGTCGATTTCAAAATAACGGCCCAATGCTAAGGTATTTACAGCGGCCTTTATTTCGAAGAGGTCTTTTAATCGAAGCGGTCTTTTATTTTTAGAACATTGTCGAAAATTCGATGGGGGCTTGTGATAGTAGAAGGTCTTCTATACGTAAAACCCCGTTAGATGACCTTACCGCGCGCCCTGATGAGAACGTATTGCTTGATATTCGAATCATGGGGAAACCACCACATTCTGTGTCTAAGGGATCCATGCTGTGATTACGAGACTTGGACAAGGTATAGAGTTGTGACTCGATTTGTAAGGCTTTAATGAAGCGAATTTTGAGCTCAAAACCTAAAGATTGTAAAAGCATGTAGCGACATAACGCACCTCGCGTCTGAACCTGACGCCGTGCCCATCGCACTTGCGCTTTATGTAGCCGATGAAGCGCATCAATTCAAAGTGCCGAATCATGTGTGCTAAAAATGATGCGTGGTCTAAATGCCCACTATAAGGTTTCGCTGACAAGTACACCTGTCAACAATTGCGATAACGCATCAACAGTTTGGTTGTACTAGAAGATGTTCTATGTTTTAGCTCCAACAGTCTGCCTTTTTGTTGATCAGGAGTCCCCTAGTCCTCTCCTTTCTTGACGGGTGCTCAAGACTTTTTTCTCGCTGTAAACTTATTAGATGCGCAACACACGCGCGATACCCGTCTCTTGACAGATTTCAGGTTTGATATGCCTCGTATACAGAAGTATCACATGTATTTGCCGATTAAATCGAGCAATTGAGCAGCATCGTAGCTTATAGAATATAGCACGATAGTTTCTTCGACAAAACTCTATGGTACAAGAATAAATCACGTGACTTTATCATGGTAGTAATCCTGAGCATCGTTCCATGTCCAAAGAATAGAGTGATTTCTTTTACAGCGGGGCTGCCGTAGCTCTTTGCTTAAGGGAAGGCTAAGCGAAGGTCACCGACTCTACGTTCTGACAAGAACCAGTACGAGTGTAGCGGATCGCAATCCGCTACCTCCAAGTACTAAAACCTTAACCGAGGTAAAGACGCTCATTCGTTCAAAATTGAAACTGTATTTAATTGTTTTAGTTGCGGCAGAGCCGCCAGTATTCAAAACCCTAGGTTTTTTCCTAATTAATATAGTAATACCTTATTGACATGCATTACTACTGGCAATCCTGCCACGTAGTGGCGTCTTGTTACGGTGTCGCCACACCAGTGTGTGATTACACCAACTTGCGTAATCCACACGTATGTACGGTCACACCATCTTGTGCCACCCGCCCTATCATACAGGGGTACGTGTATCCGCTATATCTGCAAACACCGAAATGAGGTATGTACCCCGTTCCCTTTAGTAGCTCACTATATTTAAATAATCATGAATGTGAGCAAAAAAAGTGTTAGTTGGCAACTTAGGGAAGACAAATGGACCTATCTTATGTTCATTGATCCAGAAAAACTTAAATGGTCTATAAAATGGCAACAGAGCTTCAAAATCCTATGCCTCACAAGGTTACAGGAGCGCAACACATGTTTTGTCTGACCCGTGCGCAATGCATATCGCTTGATCGACGAGCCAAGCCATTATCGTAACTTGGGAAATTCACAGCCGAAACGATACGATAGCGTATCCACCGCCACATGAAGCCGACATGGTTTATACCTTCCTGATTAGTATATTAATCTTGCCAATTCATGTCAGGCAAAATTTGATGATGTCGCTGTGCGCAACGAAGCATGGGAGGTTAGAGCGCAAATATCATAGAGCCAAGATCGTATTGTTTTTACTAGAGCATAAGTCACCGTATGTAGCGCTTAATTGAAAAGATCTTTTCTGTCGCTTTAATAGGAGCGATACAAATACGATTCCGCTTTCATGTTCATAAAAACTTTCTAAAAAGACGCTCAGCCTATGGCACCGGGTTATACGTCATAAAAAATAACTAATAGCCGACCTGAATTCAAAAAACATATTTAAAAATAAGTATGATGCTGTCTTTCCCTGAACTGAATATCGATTTTTGCTGCACCACAATGCCGATTTACATCGTTTTTAAGGAGATTGACTGGGATTGCTCCATGTCGCCACAAGCTGCATTATTATTGTGCGAATCGCTGGCTAGGTCGTCAAATCCCCCTTAAGACAAAAGCATTGCCCTATATACATTTGCCTAACCCGTAAAAGAAACTTTGTCAGCACCGAAGACACCTGTCCATATGGTTCGACCCTCCGTGCTATATATGAGTATAGAAGAACATATCACCAAATTACCTTTTCGCAAGGACACAATGCGGTCTGACCGGCTGCAGCTCCAGCTGATTGAGCGTCACTGATTCGCAAGACAGGCTAAGGACCTAAACATTCCGATCAAAGTAGTCTCCGTAGTGAGAGAACCACAGCTGTCTTTCACGAGCAGTTGATATAAAGCATAAACTAGGTTAAGGATGCTGAACAAAGTACAATCGATCAAGCTGATTTGCAGCATATTTATGTCAGGATTCTAGTTTGCGCTAAATTGTGGCTATATTTAGCTAAGCAAAAATACACAAATCATCCTTTTGCCGTGAATATATCATTTTCGCATAGGCTGCGTCGAAAGGGAAACTGATTTCCGGTCCAAACCTACTGTGTGCTCTGCTTGAAACAGGTCCTTGAAATGATTCTCTTTCAGCAAAGAATTAACAAAAACGTAAAATTACCAAAGTAAGCTTCCATACTATTCGCACTCATGGCTCCGCGAGGGGCTTCACTGACGGACATATTCACGACGAATAATGAATTAAGCTCCTACTCCGCTATCATCATTGGTGACATGACCATTTTCCATCTCATTGCAAACATACCCTTCAAGTAAGTCTTCAATCTTGATAATAGCCACTGTTGACCAAAATATATCAATATTGACGGCCTCTTGGACAATCTCGTTCACTTCGCTCGAGAATGCGTTATCTTTCACCCCAAAAACCCGTAAGGCCTCACTGCTCTTAAAGGTTGCCGCGTCACACGGTAGTAAGTCCACTGATGTTGTGCCAACAACAAATCATCATCCTGAACATCAGTGACTGAGTATCATACTCCACAGACTCTGGTTCAGGAGACACCAGCGCATAGGTACTAATCAATCTTCTACAAGAGATAAAATCTAAAGGCAACAAGAAACGACTGTTCACTACCGCGATATACAATCGCTCTTCTGTGTCTTATCCTACGACTGCAGCTCATCACTTTCCCAAGCAAGCCTTTAATAGTAAAGTTGGATAGATTCCATGTCGTGCAACAAAGCATTGGTAGCTTCGCACCCCCGCGAAATGCATTTTTCTGCTTTCAGCAGAGGTGGTATCATGACTCACCAAAGTTCCACTGGGAGAGAAGGCGGCATGTCTTGATTTGTAATTTAGTCAGTCTAAGGTTCGTGGTGTCTGGTATCCAAGCTATGCAAAACGAATCTCAAATTCAAGTACAAAATAACACAACCCTCCTGCTGTCAAAGTCTTCGACTTTCACAGAAACGCTCTACACAAACTTCGACATTTTCACTACTGTTCCTGTCTAAGAACGTAGGCATATCATGCGTCTTTGGTATCTTTGAAGCTCTTGCGTACTGTTAACTGTTTCCGACAGTCTTACGTTGTGCATACAACGCAATGTTTGGTAAATCACCAGTCTTCATAGAGCCCAACGTGTTGATATTGACAGCCAACGAACCAGGCTATTAGCACCAGAGAGTTGCGAATTTAGAGCTGTATGCCAATGACACCGTCCTTCGCAATACACAAAAATTCCGTTCATTACCAGTAGGCCGCCTTGTGCTGCCCGAAAATTGAATGTTTTGTTGCATATTCCGCGTGGAAGCTTGCGTTTTTGTTCCTATAAGACAATATAAGCGAGCACGCAGGGATTAGATAACCTATGCTCTTACAGAAAAAACATCTGCGAGCACCATAGCAGACAATCTCTAATTGGAGCTTCTCAACAAAAAAGCTAAAGTCCATTGTTTCTGATGCGCTCGCTTAGCTTCCACCTCCCGTACCACACGTCAAAGAAGCTTTACTATACATTTGATGCAATTTCTTCCATATACCCGAAAGAGACGGAATGGACGCAAACGATGTCAGTGCGAACCGCCCCCGTTCAAAGCCCCTCTATGTAGATGGTAGTCGTAACCATTTCTGGCAGAGGGTCCACAGTTGTCGCTGCGATTATTATTGCTATCTCGATACGTTGCTCTTGGATTCTTGCCTCCCTTGACGGGTGAGCAATAACTTGTAGCACTCCAATAAGGCGGTGTACATGAGTAAATGCAACAGGGTTATACGTACCCTTGTATGAAAGGGCGGGTCGCACAATCTTGTGCGACCGTACATATGTTTGTATTACGTTAGTGTAATCACACAATGGTGCGGCAACACCGTAACAAGAAGCCACCACGTGTCAGGATTGCCAGTAGTGATGTATGTTTGTAGATTAATCAGGTTTGGCTATATCAATTAGGTATTACTATATAAATTCGAAAAACGTAGGGTTTCATATATTGGCGGCTCTGCCGCATCTAGAACAGTTAAATATTGAACAGAAGTGTTCGTTTGCCTTAATTAAGGCTTTAATACTTGGAGGTAGCGGATTGCGATTTGCTACACTTGTACTGGTTCTTGGACAGGGCGCAAGGTCGGTGCCCTTTGCTTAGCTTCCTCTAAGCAAAAAGCTACGGCAGCCCAGCTGCAGTAAATTCTTTGCTACGGATGTACTGCTCAATCTTGCGCACAGTATTCTACCTCGCGCGACGCATTGAGCTCTCTTAAGAACTTGACGAGATCTCTGGCCATCTAATCTCTCCTCATATAGTGGGATAGACATTTTCCTTTCTTCCTTTTAATGCTGGACATTGATCATATTGGCAGTTGGGTGTGTTCCCACTGATGACCGGTTGATGCTTCTCTGGAGGGTCCAAACTAGCCCAATCGTCGCCTTTGATCACGGCTTCTGGTCATTGTATGCCTAGCATGCTTTCACCACGCGACAACTCAGATGACAGGCACGCGAACAAGCTCTTGATCTATAATCACGTCATTACATGACTCGGTCGTCGAATTAATACAAGTGCTTCCAAGTGGTATCAGGTTGCCATGTATCATGTACAGTGGGAGCTTTGAATCTAAAGGCCCGCGTATACAACGCACAGTAGCTGGATTTACGCACTTCGATCGGGAGCGAAGAGCGAAAGTTACTTAATAACCAGTGTGCTCTTTGATTTTAAAAGTGATTGATATTTAAAATCAGTATCACTTCAAGAAATTCTTGCTATCCATGTTTTCTGTGTTTGAAAAAACTTGTTGCCTAACATGAGGCTGAGAGTCCACGCGTTCCACTTACACAAAAATGTAAAAAACGTTTTGTTGAAAGTTGCAAAAAAGTGTGATTTGCATGGTGTGCATCTACCAAAGTACAGTACGTGTCATTACATACATTTTGATTGTAACCTAACGTTACGCTTAATATTCGTTCAAGGACCTGCATGGATAACCTGTCGCATTTATCCAAGTTATCACCAAAACTATCCAATTCGATAACGCATCACTTGCACTTGATACAGCTTTTCCGATATAATATTTTTAAAGCTACACAATAATAAATTTCAAAGGATCTATTCTAACAATTTGTTGTCTTGCAAGAAACGTACCGTGATGTCTGTCTGTCAGGTCAGCAGGTTACCCTTTGTAGCACACACACGTTTACGATCACTCTGGATGCTGCTCGTCAACAATATGTGTACAATCAAATATACTTGGATCTTCTCTTGCTTCGAACGTTAGCTCGCGAAACGAGGATCCATTGCTTGAATGTACCGAGTTATTGAGCAGTTTCTCTTTATAGAGTATGGTATTAGAAGTATCTGGAATCGACAGGGACAAAGGAAGAGTGAACACGTCATCTTTCGATGAGTGAGACCAAAAACGATGCGTTTTTTTTCTCCTCTATGGTACTGTAAGTCCTTAAGAGACTTTATGAGCGTTTGTATCGTCGAGGTTTGGCATGTTTTCTACGCACGGGTACTAACAGTTAGGGGTACCACTATTTATTGGATACATTTCGGCCGCAATATTTTGATGGATGTATCTATTGAAATTCAAAGAAACGTCCTAGTGTCAATTACTACTAGATGTACACCTTAAGAGCACTGACACATTTTTAGGTTATCGAGAATATGCGATAAAGCTTTGCTGACAAATCATGAATTTTCACTCATCGCTGGTTTTAGCACTTGGCATCGCTCGTCGTTTATTCCATCACTTGTCAATTTGAAAAGTATTGAATATGAACGACCAACGTTTTCTCATCAATCCTTTTGGACAGCTTAATCTTTCACGTGAAGCTTGTAATAAACTTGTGGAAATCACCGATGAGATTATCATGGCCAAGTTTGAA